CGGTAAACGTCTTCTTCGTGTTCACTATCTGCCGTTATTTTGCATAAAATTCGCTAACATTTTCATCAGGGAAAATTAGGAGCCGTGGCTGCTTTGCTTGCTGAGTGCCCCACCCCACTTTTTGTACTCGATTACAATATGCTTAGATTCTTGAACTGATTTGCCATTGAACCTTTTGAAGTTGCTTTAGCCAGTGTTGCTTCACTTGGTGTTCATCCCGCTGGCGATCCTAACGTTCGTTTCATCTCCTCACATTTGGGTAATTCGATCCATATGGTGCAGAATTTTACCGCCCGAGCTGTTTCTTGCATGGACGTTACCTGTTGTCTTTCGCTTTTTCACACGGGGTGAGATGAATATTTCTGGATTTCCTACCCTTCATAGGTGTAGATAAAAAATATTTCTGGCAGCGTCTTTCCTGGAGAGCCCTCTTTACGTCTTTTCCGGAACAGACTGGACTTTTTTGTAATTATGAAAGTCTAAAACGAAAGGCATTAGTACTCTGGTCTTTAGAAAGGAAGGGGGTGTGGATTTTGACAACTACTGAAACTGGGCCCGGTTCTGTTGATCGCCGGAAGGACGAGAGGGATGAAAGAAGCGAGGAAGCGGGCGGATTATGGGTATTTCGGGAAAGGGGTTACGGGGGGAGGGGTTGAGTGAAGAGAGGGGATATTTGCTGAAAAGTTGGGACGTTGCTTGAAGGTAGGAAATAGAAACGAAACAGGCGCGACGATCATGGGACGAGGGTGGGGGCTATGATACTAATTAAGAAATTGGATGGTGAGAGAAGACTGGTAATCTTGCGCTTGCACTCCAAAATCTTACTGGGAGAGAGGATCCGGTAGTTGTGTACGACAATGATTTCTGTAATTCCCGCTCAGACTCAAAAGCGAGTGCATTTTGCGCGGCTGGTTCGAGCCAGGTTTTTAGTTTTTACATGGATTTTTGGACTGTACACCGAATGATGATCAAATCGTGCGGCCGGTAGTGCTAGCGAGAGGTTTGGGTTGTTTGTATTTATTCTAGACTTTTCCAGGCCTGGAATAAAGGCCGCCACTTCAGCAAGCTCCACGTGCAATCGATAGCACATCGAGAATTGCTTATGAATGCGCAGTGCGAGGAGGCCCATTGCTGGATGGGATGGGGGAATCGCGCGGTCCGATTCACGCAACGGCGTGCCATGAAGAGCACGAAGTCAGTCCTTTGTCCGTTAAGAAACCGTAGGCTGATTTAAGGGGGAGCGGGGGAGGGGGCAGGGGGTCTTCGGGTCCCCTTCCCTTGGCGACACAAGCACCAGTGCTGCAAAAGCCCGGGTCTGTCCATAAATATAGCTAAAGTAACTCTAACTAGCAGTATGTCACAACTCTATTCCTAGTTTTCGCATAGTTCCAAGGTGAGAGGGGGCTCTCGCCCCACCCGGTCGCCCCCCTCCCTCCATTCCTTGTCGCTTCCCTCAGGAGCTCCACTCTCCCCCTTCCCCTTCTCCACTTTCTCCCCGACTGCCCGCCACCCCGATTCCCCGCCACAGCCCAGGAATACGCCCTGGACCGGCCTATGACTTTTTCCGAAGTAAAAATGCTACTAACATACCCGCTGCTGTATGCACGCCACTATCTCACACAGAGCTATTATTACCATACCTGGCGTTCTCAGT